ATCATTTTTACTTACTTGATGACATTTTCTCTTATGTAGATTTGAATAACAAAAATATTTACCTGAAAAAAAAAAATTAAAATCTCAGATAACACAATAATATTTATCTGCCGATTACCGAACGGTATATTTTTAATTTGTTTTTAATTAAAAGATATATTGGATTTAGGTAAAATAAATTATTAAGGAATTGTCTATGCTTTATTTTAACATTAGTATTTTCAAACTAACCTTAATCATTAGTATTTTAAAAATGATGATATTTTTTTGACTTTTCAAATTGACTGTATCCAACACAGATTTGAAAAAGATTATTTATCTAAATATTTTGATAAGCTTAATAATAATCAAACAGATTTACCATTTATTGGGTTTACAATAGTTAAAATAGTTAGACCGGCAAAATAGGGACAAATTTTATATTAAATATTTTTTTTTACTTTTTTGGTAAACATTTTGAATTTTTATACACCATAGATTATAAATCTTTTATTATAGTATTATTTGTATTAAGAATAGAAAAATATTATTTTTTCAAACTAAAAACGATTTTAGGATAGGGGGTCTATTTTTTTTAATTTTTTTTTTTTTTGATAACTGCCTTATAGACATTTATCTTTAAACAACTAATAGCCTTGATAAAATATACAATGTATGATGGGTGTATACACATTAAATTAGTGCATACACGAGTAAAATATAAATATATATATATATAAGAATATATTTACATGGCACGATCCTAAGCCTAAATCACATTAAAATAACTCGAACGGCTTCAAGCGTTTGAGGTGTTTTGCGAGTAATAAGCGCTATTAAAAAATCAAAAATTAATGTGTTTATGGTGTAGATACGGAATAATGACATAATGTTTGCTACATTTAAAAATCAGAAAAACATTTCTGTTGAAAATGTTGTTTAAAGTCAGAAAAAATTACACATAACATTAAGAACCGATACATAATTACTGCATTCTGAATCTTATAATTATAGTGGTGTTGAATTTATCTATAAGTAGAACAATTGGTTGATTGTAGTTGCAAAATTTAAGGTCGTCAAATTAACCACTTAATAAAAAAAAACTGACACTACTGGTAGATGTGTTACTGTTGTAAATTGGAAATTAAAGAGATAGGGTACATAAATGTATTTAATTTTTCTATAAGTGGCGATAAACTATTACTAATTATTGCCAACGGAAAAAGATTCTGAGCAAGAATCGTTTGTATATGATATGTAAGGTCGTAATATTGACGGTTATCTTCAAAATTTTATCTCATAACAATATTATAAAATACATTCAGAATCTAAAAAAAATTTATTTTATTACATTCTACCTCTTTTTGACAACGAAATAGAACAAATTATAATTAACTGCCCATTAAATTTCCATGAATTTCTTTTAAGGTGATTTAAGGTGATCAATTATATCGGCATAGTACTATACCAAATAAAAACTTTGAAATAAACACGTAAATATAAAATTCATATAAATAGATCAAAAATCGCCAAAAGTTTTTTAAAATTTATCATATTTAGAAATGGACAATGTACATTGTATTTTAAGTCTCTACGGCCATATACAACTAAATTACTATATAAAAAAAAATTTAAAATAATAAAACTACAATAATAGAAATATATTTTTGTAAACTTAGTTTTTTTTATGGTTTTTCTCGTAAATTCCTTGAAATATCAAAAAATAACCTATATACCAACTAGAAAAAATAACCTTTCAGAAAAAATACTATACTCCATACATTGTAGTAACTTTTCTTGTCAAAAATCATAGAAATCCAGTATATATCCTTGGCTATGCTCTAAATCTAAAATGAAACTCAATTTTTATTTTCTGCTAACAGTTATCTTAAAGAATTTTCTTTTGATAATTATACTGATTTTTTTACTTGTTTATTTGTTACTTGTAACTTTTACTCCTTCAATTATTTTGACATTGGATGTTAAATACCGAAATTTAACCAAAAGTAATGTGTCTATTCATTATTTATATTACTGGAAAAAAACAACGAAAGAACAGACAGTATTTTACATACTATACGAGATCCACCTACTTAATTTATATTACAAACAAATTCTTTAAGTTAGCTAAGTACAAATTTGAACCATTCTAACATGTTACAAAATGAAATTAGGTTTTGTTTTAAACTTCTAGTAATAAACAATAATATCATATACAAATTATTTACTTTAGGGAATCATTCATATTATACATATGAATGATTCCCTTGTCAAAGTTTTGACTTTTTAAAGTTACGATATAAATAGATTATTATTTCAATTATTGTGGACGATATTTTCCTTTATTATTTTATTAATTATTTGTTTGTATGATCATGTCGACCTATATTTTACAATAATAAATACTAATTTATTTAATTTTATATTTTTTTATGTTTTTTTTTTAAATTGTATGTGGTTTGAAAAAATTGAAAATATAAAGAAGGTATGGCAAATATTTTTCTGCATGTAAACAGTTCATCGTTTATTTTGCAGTGTACTGTTTTGTTTTGTTATAAATAATATCAGCAATCAGCATGTCTAATATTATGCGGTCATTATCCGTGTTGCATCACGATCATTACACTCTCGAAGTGTCTTTTGTATTATATAGTAGCAAATGTGACGATTATGTATGAATTATTAAAATATCCAAAGAGATTTTTATCAAGAAGCACGGGTATTTATTTACAGTAATTACAATTGTTATTACGATTAACTAAATTATAATGCGGATTAGTGTAACGCAAAACAATCGTGTACTGATTTCGAACCAAACGAGCCGAATGTATTGAAAATGTGTTAATGATAGTTAATCGGTATAGTTAAATTGTCAGGCTTCAATAAATAGTTATTATTTCATCAACTTATGATGAGCTGATAATTTTAATTAGGTTTTATGACGAATATTTTGTAGTGGTTTTTCAACTACATATTATATACTTTATCGTATCTGTGCCACCGCGTTCCCGCATTTTTAAGGCTTAAATTGGGGGAAAAATAAAATATTTTATTCTTGGTATATGCGAACATTTAGCTCAAACAGTGGCTTAGGTGAGAAGTGGTAACAAACATATATCCAACCAAACTTTCGCAATTAAAATATTAGTAGGCTATTATATTATCGTAGTTGTAATTCGCGAATTATATTTAATTTCGTGTAATACATATCCCTAGAGTTGTCAGTTATGAAATTATAAAAGGGGACGGGAACAATATTTCACTGTTCCCTACCAAATGCATCGTAATGCCATAAATATTTAGTTATATAGTTATATAGTTCCATATGCATTGTAGTTCAACTACGTGGCAGTTGTGTACAAAAATGTAACCTATCAGTTTTGGTACAATACATTTCCTACATCGCATAATCCTTAAAATGTCTACCCAATGTAGTTTTTCTACGACTTAAGGTTTAAGGTTATAGGTTTTCGTTTAGGACGTTAACTGTTTCTCGAACGGTATAGGGTTTGGAAGTGACGGTATATTTTTTCGGCGTAAGCGTTTGGAAAAATGTTAAAATAATTGCATATAGCCGCAATAGTTGTTAATAAAAGTCATATACTTCAGTTAATTTGAGTGCATAAAGGTAATTAATTTTTGTTTTATCCATTATCGGCTGATTTTTTTTTTTATAAAATATGTATATTGTTCAATTTTCAAGTATTTTTAAAACTACCGCGGGCTGTTGACGTCACGATATACCGTTAAACTACATTTAAATATTTCAATATTATCTAGTGACGGCCGTGGATTTCGAACACAATAAAACGATTTGAAAAGTGTCATATATTTAATTAAAATTTCAGTAAAAAAAAAATGACGATCGTCACAGCGACAACGAGAGGGTGGAAGGACAAAATCACCGACAGTATTGTAATATAGTGTATATGTAAATAACGTGAGAGAGGGAAAATATTTTCAGTTATACATGAAGAAAAAAAGCGCATCCATCCATCCTCATTTTTAATAGTTTTTTTTTAGGCACAATAAATACACCGTGATTGATCGATGGTTCGGGCGAATATAACGTTTTTATTCATATTCGTACATCGTACACACATTTATAAAAATATCATTTATGTAATGACGAACCAGCTATAATAAATATTTTAAACAGGTATTATCCTTATGATATTTTATGAGACTTATCATATTATATGTACCATAAGACCATAACATAACATTCAATGTATCAATTTTTAAATTTCAACACACAATCCATTTCGATCCATGTTCAACCTAGATTCAGATTTACAAAATAAATGGTATTATTATTGCAAAAATGTGTGTCTCAGCTTTTGATGTTTTATTAGATGATCAAAATACATTTTATAAAACAATACTAATCTTATCATGATCATTGATTTTATGAAATCAACACTTATCATAACTCTATCATGCGTTAATGGCTAAGATGTTATGCTGTTACAAGATTTTGAGATAAGTTGTGTTATTGTTTTCATGATTTACTAATTCAAAATATAACGAGTAGTCAAATAAGAACAAAACATTTACGAAGAAACTTGTATTGTTAATATCGATTATAATTGTATTTTATCAAATTTTGATTTACATGATATTGCAGTAAAAGTGACGATTTTATATTCACACTATTCTTCTCGTTTGAATTTAAAACTGCAGTTATACTTATCATTAAAAATTGTGTACCAAACCCAACCTATAACAAAATATTTAAGAATAATTTTTTTTTTTATAAATCGGAAGTAAAAATATGTTGGTTCAAAGTTCCTATTATATGTAGAAAAACATATTTAATAATATATATTGATGGGATTCAATTTCTTCAAAATATTCCAAAAAAAAACTGTTGAATGGAACTATTATAGTATAATTAACGAAAAAAAAAAAAAATTGAATTAAAAAAAAAACCATCTTCGTATATCTTCACGTTAATAGATAATCGCCGGTTTGTGATAAAATATTAGTACCATTCTATATACTGGTTAGTCTGATGAAGAACTTTGCCAAAAGTTTTTATATTTTTGCTGGAGATCGAATATCCGTTTAAACCTTATATCATAGGGCAGGGAAATGTGGTTCCCTCTCCATCATCTAACAATTTTACGAAACATTGCCGTTTAAAAGAATCACTACAATATATCTGCACATATACCTATTGCATTATACCTATGCGATTCGCATCTTGTATGCATGTAACATTCCGGGGAACCAAATTTCCATGTACTTACTAGAAATCTCTGCTAAATTTCAAGTTACTCGTATGAATACGTCAATAAATAGGGATCTACTCATATGTTTCATACGGTATCTAGTTAACTAGTCCTTATGTTTACCGTACGAGTGTAAATATACGTTTTATTATACAACAAAGTAGCAGTGAAATTACTATTGTACATCAAAAACACATTTTAAGTGATTAAAGATTTTAAAATGAGAAGGGTACATAAAAAAAAAACAATAATAAAACTAAGCACAATTGTAAAACCATAAGCTTCTCGTTCCAAAAATTTGTATTATTTTAGTAATATATTTTGTACATTTTCCTGTTTTTTTTTACGGATTTTCCAATTTGATGTGAAAACTCCTGAGGAAATCGAAAAACGACCTCCTAAAATTACTACACCGATTTCCTTTTAGAAAATGTGCTACACTCAAAATTGTGAGCAATTCTTCTAGTAGAAAAGTTAAATACAGATAAAAAAAAAAAAAATATATTTTTGTAATACCATAAGCTTCTTCGCTTCACTCAGAATCTAAAATACAGTAACGTATTCAAATGCTGGATGTGTACTGCTAATAAAAATCACAATGCTTGTGAATGTATTTTAGTCCATATAGTAGATATATATGTCAGGTTAAAAATTCGATAATATCTTGATTACCATATACACTTAATATACTAATTCAGTAAGAGCTAAATTATGATAAAAGCACTTACCAAAAATACTTTTGCTCATTTTCCCGTATCTGGCAACACAATTTACTGCCCGATTTTTACCACCTATACCTATGTAATTCGTGTTTAATTTTATATGTTAATGTCTGTTTTATTATCTCCGAAGAAGAATGGGAAAATACTCCATAATAATGGTGCACAGGACGTACATTTAAAAAAGTATACTTATGCTAATAGAATACGGGTCGTAAGATAAACAAGTTTTACAATTATAAGTTGTTTTAAAAACACTGGTAGGAACCTACATTCAATTATTACAGTTTTCATGATAATGATATTATTATTATTAGTGCCTTGTAATATAATAGTGCATTTTTCAGTTTCTCTCGAACAGAAACTCTAGGCAATAATTAATAAAAAAAAATTGTATAAATTTACCAGCGACAGTAAAATATAATGTACTTATTTTCGGAATATGCATATAAAAGTATTGTTTATAGTTAATACAAATTACGTCTGTTATATTACAACTCCTCCATAAAAAACACACCCGTTCTTAACAAACATTATATGTTCTTCTAAAACCATTAGAGTCAAATTTTCCCTAAAATAGGTTTTGGCGGGAAAAAATGACGATGTCTATGGATCGATAAATTCAAAATACGTACCTACAGAATGCATGAAAGTTTTTTCGCGATTTTTGATTACACAACAAATGTGGTAGCGAAAGAAAATTATTACTATACGTTTTGATATTATTGCATTTTGTCGGATATCACTTTTCCGAGGATTATATTTTATACGGAGGCAGTTTGAAAAGTTTCTTTCAGACAATCCCCGCATGTATAGATAGAAATATAGACGCAAACGAAAACGGTAGCGGTAATTTAGATTTGAAAGTTTCGACAAGTTTTATTTATTTTATTATTATCATTATTATTTTTTTTTAAATATATTCGCCTTAGTTTTTGAGTAAAATGCAAACATTTCTAACAATATGCGGTGTGAAATTTATCATCAAGTCGTTCTGATCAATGGCGTTTTGTTGAAATTAAGAAACTGTAAATTATGATAATTATAGAAATTATTAAATTAAACGGTTAATCACACACATTGTATAGACCCAATATATTATTGTATTATATACCGGATGTACTTAAAATCGTGATAAGATATATGGCACAGGGTATCTTAGTTTAAATAATGTATTTATAATGATAAATTATCAGGAGCATTAAACGATTTTGCGTTGTCTTTAATTTCCGTGTTATCGACAGGGAATCCAGATACCCAAAAAAGGTTTACCTTGCGAAACATTTTTAATGTATATGGTTTGAAAGTTTTGGTGTGAAAATTATTTGTCTATCCAAATAAGTGATCACTTATACTTGTTTATAAAAACCAATTATATATATACTTCTCGTCCCACTATTATAAACATAAAATTAAAAAAAAAAAAAATTTTAATTTCTGTAAATATAGTTTTGGTATATATTTTAAATAAATATGGCATTGCGTTCTTTATGTGTACAAGTCATGATATGTACTAGTGACTAGTAGGTTTTAATTATTTTCAAAACCAATGGTTACTGACGAAATTGTCTTTTTGAAACGATTCACGTAGGTGGGAAAATAAAATACAAAGACGGGAAAATGTATGGCTAACGGCACCGTCTAGTTCTTAATACACGTTATTAAAACTTTTATTTTTAATGATTCGACACCGAGGAGACATTAGATAATTTAAATTGCCGGCGTTTCCACCGAACCGTAAATCCAAATCAGTTGTAGGTACGACCTAAATTTTATTGGAACGGTTCACGATAGGTATGACTTCGATTAGCCGATGCTACACCATCGCAACAATGGTTTAATAGCAGCCACCGGGTCCACAATATATTTTTTGTATTACAATAATAATATGATCATCGTTAAATTATTCACAAAACAAATGGCCAGTCCATTAAGACCTTTAAATTATTCAAAACGTATTATCAAGCTATCTCCGTTGGATCATCATTCGCAATAAATATTAATACTATCGTCTGGTTAAAATATGAGCCGAATTACGCGAAAAGTGCACATAGCGAATCGCTAACTCAAGAAAATCGCCATAAGTATAATCCAATCCCTACACAGTTTCACAGTGCAGTGGTCTCAGTAGATTATAGGTTTCGTTTTTCAATTAATCGCCTAAACAAAAGCGCGTGCCGGGTGACACTTCGGGATCCATTTCAGCACCACATCAATTCTGGTAATTTGATTAAAATTTACCATGTCGTATTTTATTATGTATGTGTGGAAGTTTTATATTAGACGTGTTTTGGTAAATAACCACATTTAACCAGGCTACTGTTTTTTATAATCAAATCGCTTTGCCGTTTTTGTTATTACTTTTGTTATAACTTTTGGTTTGCAGGTTACTGAAATAATATAACCGCACAGGTTAAAATATAAGTTGAATCACGCGATAAATGCACATACATTAATCATCAACCAAAGGAAATCGCTGTTGGTGTAAGCCGATTCCTAAGTATATATTTACACGCATTTATATCTGATTATAGATATCTTGCCAGATCTATCTTTTCACGATTAATACTTAATTCAAAATCTTGATTTTTGAGTAATTTCATAAAATCATATTAATATTAAATCAAATGGATATATTTTTAAATTTTGTTTTGGCGTGGAGCCTAAAACCAAAGTATTGTATAATATTAATATTGAAAGGAAGTTATTCCTAAATTATAAATCATTAATTCAAATCCTTTATTCATGAATTCATGGAATGTGTAAATAACACTATAATGCATACTTTTGAAATCAATGACATTATATAATTAAATATCATAAAGAATAGATGGTAAAGTCTAAGAATTAAATGTATATAATATCAATTAATATTATATTTAATAACGCCATAAAGATGCTGTCTTCGCAAATCTATAACTATATAATTAGATTAATCACTAAAACACAGCTATTTAGTTGCTATTTATAATGTTATCAATTTCAAATAACTGTTATTTCGGGCGCCTCCTTCGCTCGTCAACAAAAGATGTTTACAGATCCACATACACACACGTATCATAGCAAAACCAATAAATTCCTCGTTACGCTCAGAATCTAAAAATAAGAGTCGATACTTTAGACGGGTGTGGCCACTGTTATAGGTTGAATATTAAAAAAATTAGAGTATAGAGATTATTTATTTAATTTATATTTGTACGCAACTATCATTGATAACGGAAAACGATTCTGAGCGAAGCTCTAGCAATAGTATTGCTTTTTCAAAAATATGCGTTTTCATGCCAAACTGATAGTTTCAAAAATATGAAAATAGGTACTTGTAATAAAAACTTAATAATAACAAAATATAAATAAGAACAGTTGCCTATAGCAGCTTTATTATTAATCTTCAAGTATTTTTCACTTAAAGAACTAATATTTTTTCGTTATCTCGAATATTAATGAGAATTTCAAAAAAATTACCCTTCTAAAGTATCAAAAAAAGCCTCTTGTCATATTCTGATTGAAGCAAGATTTCTAGGAGAAAAGTTACTATCACAAACAGAAAAAAAAATATTTAAAAAAGAGCTGGTACTCAGGATGAGAGTAGTATCTGTTGTAAGTAGAAAATTTGGAAGGTAGGATAGATAAAATTATCTAATTTATAATTTGTACACAATGAGTTTAACAACTCCATCTATTTGTGGAATTTTTAATATTGGCTGCCATTTGAAAATCAAAAGTAGTTAGTGGTTTTAATCTTAAAAATACGGGTGACAAAAACAAAATTATTGTAACCTAAAATTTTAGGGCTAATTGATTTTTAAATGTTCTATAAAATAAATTCCAAAAAAGTTAACACTTTTCGAGATTATGACTATGAATATATTTTCAAACGGAACACTCTGTATGGTTTTATAAAAATTTGTTGGTGAATTGAAGTTGTACATACTAAGGTTTTTCATTCTGAGCATAGCACCTAATATTTTGATTTTAATATTTTTTTCTGTCTAGGAAAAAATAATCAATAAAGTTTTGTTTTTTTTGTTTATTATATAGGAGTCTATCAAAACGTTTTTAAAGTTGATTTGTCGGGAATAGTTCTATTCACCTCTCTATGTCTAGTCTAATAAAGTAATAACCTTGACGGGACGATTATTAAACGAAAATATCATAGTATATAAATATACCTATTAACAAATATATTATTATATTATAATTATGGAACCGCGTTTTATTTGGTAAATCAGGAGAACCACAATAATCTAAATAATTCCGAACGATTCACTCTCACGCCACCGTGTTGTACAAGTTTCACTACTCGAACGGTATCGAATAAACACATCATTATTATACCTCGTGTGCAACCTTATCGTCCGTTTCTATTCCTAGACACGATATCTATATTATTATAGTACGTTTTATTGTGAATTTCATTAATACGCTAAATTCGCGATATCGTGTCTAGATGAAATTTCAACTTGGTTGTAGTCGCAGATAGAACCATCAATGTATCGAATATTTGTCATATATTTTATTGTGTAATACTATTTATAATATTAAAAGTGCTCATTATACATGATGATCCAATTTTCATAAACTATCAATTTTCTTGTAGGATTTTAAGTAAATTTGTTTTTTTTTTTCAATCATTATAGATTCTTTAAAGCCTTATTTTAATAATACTTTAAATTTTCACTCCTATTACTCATAAATCATGATATTATATACAATTTGAATTTTAAAACATCAACACCATCTTTTGATTGTTGATTCAAATAGAAAATATTTTTCTAAAAATTTTGATAGACATAAAACATAACAAATATAACATAATATGGGATTTACCGTGTGTTATTGATCATAAAGTATTTGAAAATTTAATCCACAGAAGTAGAGATAGAGAATAGTTATAGAGTAATTTTTCGTACATAAGTGAATATGCAATTTACAATGACTAACGTAACAATTAGTTAATGAAACAACCAAAAACCAAGAAATACAAATTAGACAAAAGCGAAGTTGTTTAAAACTTAAAGGGGAATATTGTTGGTTTTTATCGGTGTCTAATGAAATTAAAAGTAGAAAATACGCAGAGAGCCGAATAATTTAAAGTAAAAATAATTTTTTTCAAAACCTTTGAAATAATCCAAAAAATCACTGGTTTTCAGTAACTCCAAGAGCTATAGGAATATCCTATCCCAATATTTCCTTCGATATAGCGGCAAAATTATTATAGTTCATTGTTTTATACGATTTTTGTTATTTTTTTTAATAATTTTCGTTCAATGCATTCATAAAAGTTACTTTCATTATGTTTTATAGATTTTTAATATGTTAAAAATGTAACAAAATATTTACGTGAACAAAAAATATCCACTTTTTGATTGAATTCGTAAAAACTTGCCCAATGATAGTTAAATCATAATATAGGGATAATTTTAATCCTTGATTTATATTGATGCTAAAATTATTTAGGGGAAGCTAGAGAAAGATATTTAAATAATTTGTTAACTTTACAAATTATTTGGCTGTGCACAATGCACATAAGACATATGCCTGTGTAATTGAATGAAAATCGCGCCTTTACTGAATTACTTCACTACTTACAGATACAAAAGTCTAAAGTCTTCGAAAATCATTCTTGTGGTGTTCATGGGACTGAATATAGAGTATAGTAAGTTTCTAGATTTAATGTCAGGTCAAAAAAAATAAGCAAATGCTATAAGTCCTTGTGACGCATGTTATCGAAACAATGTTTCTAAATTATATGTATATTATTATTTATTATATATATATTATGGAGTTTTATCATCTACAGAAAACACAGATTTGTTTGTTTTTGAAAAATGTCAATCCAGTGATAAGAGTTATTGATTGTTATTGGTTGCAAAAAAATAAAAATAATAAACGTTAAAGCTTTTCATCGTTATCATTTTTAAATTACCGAAGTTATATTTCGTGCAAACATAATATGTTATTAGAACACCGAAGGAGATTATCATGATATAAAGAGAACAATAAACAATATACGAGTGAGTATTGTTATGTTTAAATAAATATCTTATTCAAATAATACCAGAAATAATAAAAAAATACAATGTTTCGATTTAAATATGTTATAAAATAAAAAAGTAAACAATTTAATAATATTTGCGAATATCAATGAAATCCTAAATTTGGATATAATGTTGGATATACCTAATTACTTCACATTGTGAGTTATGTGTGCTACTATACCATATACAACATATGGAATTTTGTAACTAAGGTAATTAAGAATACGTTATATAGGGATAGAAAAACAGGATCAGAGTGTTTCATTTAAACACTGAAAGCTACGTAAAATGGTTACAATAATTTAAAAAAAAAAAAACTATTCTAAATTGAGCTGAGTAAACTGATAAGGTTATAGGTATTTTTTTCTTCTTGTAGTAAACGCAATCATTGAAATCAATGTAAATAAAATAAACGTGTTCCGTAGTAATAATATTTTGTTATCGTTGTTTTTTAATTTTTTAGGAAAAACTGACAAATCAACCGAAAAATCAATCTCAAAGGAAGGCATGAAATAATTAACGGATTTAACCAACTGACAAAACGTTTTCCAATTAAATAATTAAACACATCTTCCCGAAATAAATAACATTTTCAAACAATGAGAACTAAAACTGAAAATAAATGTATCTAACCTTCTTAAAGTTAACTTAACTCTTTCTTAATTAATAATTACTTAAATTATTACCAAATATCATTGAAATGACTGTTTAAAAAATAAAGTAATTTATTTAAATATAAACATTAACAGTGTGACTGTTCTTTCATGTTTTTGTTTAATGTAGTTTTTAATCAATTTATAGTATTAAATAAATAATAGCCAAAATAGTATGCTGGTTTTAATTAAATTTACTGTTCAGGTTTATCGTAAAATATTATCATCACGGATAACGACCTATTATATTGTTATTTTTATTTGATTATATTTTAACTAATAGCGTAGGTAGGTCTCGAAATTTAATCAGTATCATAATAGTCATGTAGTTGGTCTGTTTAAAGCAGTCTGTTTTAAACATGACGCTTTTAAATCCGATTGAAACCCGAAAATAATTTGAAACGGTTGTGTATAAAACATTTTAAATTTTTAATAAAGGACATGTCTATTATTTTTACAATATTGTGAATGATTGAAAATTATTATTGTTGTTTACTGTATTTAATTTTTAAAATAGGAATGATCCGATGTTTTAATCAGTAACTCTTTGGGTTGTAAATTGGACACAGGTTGTT